TCATCTTTCTCCCGCGGAGCGGCTGGTAGTTTCGAACCGCTGACCTTAAGGTTCGCAGCCCGATTCGTAACCACTACGCTACCAGAGCTCCTATAATTGTACACATGAAAAATTTAAAGGAATCTACAAGAAACCATAGCTATTAAATGAATTCAGATATAAGGCCAATCTATAAAAATTGTACCTCCATATATAGAAACAAACAGAAAAAAGACATTTTTTTAAGATTTTACTCACAATAGCATTAAAAGACATCAAATATCCAAGAATAAATTTAATTTAAAAATGGGCATGGGGGAGTCACAGAGAGGAACCCAAGAGTTAGATTAAACAGAGGCAAACACTGTTAAGCAATGGTACATGAAGGGGCTACCAATCCCTGTAATGAAGCACAGTATATTTGCTTCATTTTTTGACTGCAAAACACGATCTGCTATGTAAACCTTTACACGTTTCACAAAAAAACACTTTTTTTAAGAAAGGTTACTGAAAACATAAACTATCGCTGGGAGAAATGAAAGATTCGATGTTGTTAAAATGTCAACGTTCTCCACATTAATCTACAGAATCAGCACAATCCCAATCAAAATCCTAGCATGCTTGTTCGTAGAAAATATTAAGCTGATTCACATTTTTGTAGAAATGCAAATTACTAGGTTAGCCAACTAACACATCCTTGAATAAGATTAATAAAAATGGAGGCTCACAATACCAGATTTCAAATAGTGCTGCTGACATGAGATAGACAAACATAACAAAGGAAATATATTCAGGCTAAAATAAACCCACAAATATATGGTCAGCTGATGTGCAAAAATAGTGTCAATGCAAAGTCAATGAGAAGAGGAAAATTTTCTCTATAAATGGTGCTGGAAACAGCGACCTATTTATACAGTAACAAAGCAAAACACTCTGATCTGTACCTCACATTACATTTATTTGCAATAGCACACAGACCTTAAACAAGCAATTACAATATAAATGCCTTTAGAAGAAAACACAGAATAGCTTCATGATCTGGGGTAGACAAATCTAGTTTACACAGAACATTAAAAAGCATTAACCATAATTTCTTTCAAAATGATAAACTGGACACCATCAGAATATTGTTGTCAGTGCCACTGAACTGGTTCTGATTCACAATGACCCTGTGTAGGGTTTCCATGGAGCAGGTGGTGCGTTGGAAGAGCTGACCTTGTAGTTAGTAGTCCAGTGTTTGCCCTAAAGTGCCACACCAAGACTCCATTAAAATAAATAACTCTATTCATCAAAAATCATTAAAGAAAGGAAAGGGCAAACCCCAATTGGGAGAAAACATTTAGATATCCAACAAAGGACTTACAAATAGGATAGTTTAAAACGGACAAAGAATAAACAGAAATATAGTTCAATATAAAATAGGCATAACCTGAATAGGCACTTTATTTATAAAAGAAGATAGCCAAATAGTCAATATGCACATCAAAGATTCTCAACATATTATTAGTGATCATCACAAAAATACACACTGATGCTAAAATAAGATAGTACAACAGACTCACCAAAACAGCTACAATGGGAGCCTGACAATATCAGGTTTAGGAGAGGATATGAAGCAAGTTCTGTCACATGACTGGTAGGCACTGACACAACCACCGTAAAAGCACTTTCTGGAACTTTCTATTGAAGTTAAATATACACTTATCCTATGATCTAACAACCCTACTTCTTAAATTGAAAAATGAATATGTATGTTCATAAGAAGACTTGTGTGTCGCTTTACTCTTTAATACCCCAATCTGGAAACAATTCAGCTGTCCATCAATAGGAGAATGAATAGAGAAATTGCTATATTCAGACAACGGAATATTCTGGAGCAATAAAAAAAGAACAAGCTGGTGAAACACACAAAATGTGCAGCAATCTAGGCATTATGCTGAGCCAAATAAGCAAGACTGAAAATAGCACATAATGCTTGAATTTCTATCTCAACAAATTTCAGAACCACCAGAATGACTGTATAATGATGGAAGAAGCCAGAAAGGTGGCCTCCTCTGGGCAAGGAGACCAGGGACCTTTCACCAGAGAGTGCTGGCAACGTTCTATATTTTGAACTGGGTATTGGTAACCAAGATGTATACTCAGGATTTGTATACTGTAAATTTTAACTTAATAAAAGTACTATTAGCATTTTGGCTTCTGATCCAAAATCTGGGTAGAGATATTAGTTGTTTCCCTTCAGACGTAGGTGATTACTTTCTAGTCCAACTTCCAAATAAGGGTCCAGGACAATGTACCTGGCCTACAGCTCTTCAGGGTCAAGGTCTCATCTCCCTGGGCTGTTATCATATGTAACCACCTAGTACAGCAACAATGCCTACTCACACACTTGGTTCAGCCCCCTTCCTTTGCTGTCAGCTCAGTTATTCACCCATAACTATTCTAACTAGATCCTATGTAATATATCCAGGTGTTTCTAAGAGGAGGGCTTCCAAAGTCATCTGTGTTACCATACCTCAGAGCCAAAAGTTGACACTATAATCTTTACATTAAAAAGAAAAAGAAAAGGAAACCAAATAAACCATTAGTCATGGCAGACAGAGTTTAGAGCACTCACAATGTATCGGAAAGTTTCCTAAACGCTTTACTCATTCATTTCATCTTCATAGCAACTAAGGAGGCTGAAGAAACTAAAATACCATTTAGATAAACTGTCCAAGGCCACATACACAAAAAAATGGATGACACTAAGATTTTGGATCCAAGTGGTTTGGCTCCAAAATCCATATTCCTATTCACTATGCTACATTGCCTCTCAAACACACACACACAGAAAAATAACAAAACCTATTTACCACAGCTCTCCTGGGGGCAAGGGAGACAAGGAATAAGAATGCCTTTCACATTTTAATTGAAAACTTTTGTAACATTTGAGTTTTTCAACATCCTACTTAAATGTGGTGCTGTAGAGTAAACACTGGACTGGTAACCACAAGGTCGGCAGTTCAAACCCACGAGCCAATCTCGGAAACCCTACACGGGATCACTATGAGTCAGAACCAGCTAGATGGCACTAACAACAACAGCAAGTATTTAAGTCAACATTGTTTAGTATTGTGAGAAGTAGGTGTGTGGGTCTCTTGCTGCTCTTCTCACCATTTTTACAGTTTTATTTAATGTTCAAGTAGTGATTTACTGGGGAAAAGCACACTGAAATAGGAATTTACCTTGTCTGCACAACAGTTTCATTAAGCTACTCCTAATGGCTTGGAAATAACCCAACCCACTGGCAGACATCTTAGCTTAGCTGCAACTTAATGAACCTTAATCATTCGCAAATCAATCTTATCATGAGAATTTACTGAAGAAATAAAATAAAGTGTCCAAACACAAACACAGTGGCTGTTTCCAGAGTGTGGCCCAAGTCTGGCCACATGAGTATAGATTCCCTCTGCATCTTGCAGACTCACCTTGGAGTGGGCTCTGTCGGAGAAACTGCTCGGTGCATTGTCATAGGCCTTGTGAAATACACCAGATAACCTGACAAAGAAGATACCACACATGCACATCAACGTCAATGAGCTGGACCAGGGAACATCCAAAAGCAGTCCTGGTCAACCTTTTCCTATCTTAATACACCTGAGGGATAAGACACATTTTCATAAATTGTAATGGTTCCTGGGTACAGTGATTCTGTCTCAGGCAAACATCAGAACTCCCAGGAATCCAGGAGATGGATGGGGAGGCATGTGACTTGGATAAAGTCCTCACCCGTAGTTTCTATTTCCTTGCAAGAGTGCTCTGAGGAAAGACCCAAATCCAAACTCATCAGAATTATTAAAAATTAACATATTAATTTTCATAGATTTTCTTACGATATGTCTACAGACGTATATTCTGAGTCAGCATCAGACCGTAAATACCACAACATGAGTCTTTCTGAGTTCTCAGAAACAAAAAAAAAAAGATCTGGTGAAGGTATTTATACAGAATATATAATATTCCTTTGCAGCTCTCTCTTTCCTCTCTAAATCTACAACCAGAGAAACCCAAAGTAGACCAACCTGCTCCACAGAACCTGGCCCCAGAAGTCCTGGGAAAGGGGATGTTAGCATCCTGGTAGGACCCGTAGGCAGTGGTGACACGCGCAAACGTTGGCAAAGGGGGGGTGACCGAGTTTGGGAGAGCAAAGGGGTTGCTGGAAGAACTGTCTTCTTGGTTCTGAAATGTAAAAAATCAACAAACCGGAAAAAACAAACAAAAAACCCTGTCTTAATGCTGAGTTACAAAATACAAACACAGGCTTACAAAAGCAAGGAGCCTGCTTTTAGGGAGAAAGGACGGGGACAGCACACTAAAGCATATGCGGGTACACCGAGTTCATTCTTCGTACCACAAAAGACTCGAGGCAGGAGACGAGCTGCCGCAGGCAGGGCTCCAAACAGCTCTGGTTACGTTTCACTTTCTGCAGGGACGTGTCTTTCAGGATCTAAAAAAGGCATAGAACACAGTCAAGAGTGGCAACAGATTTCTCCTGGTTCCCTGATGTTCTGCAGAGTCCTCAGAAGCAATGAATATGCAGGAAGATTGGACCACAGTTAAGTCTGAGGCTTCCAACCTTCCATAGTGGCTAAGAGAAAAGGATTCATTTCTGATTCTTGCAATTGTTATGAAGCGCCATCCGCAGCGATCCTGTATGCTGTTTTCTGAGAAGCAGCTAGTGAATTTGAACTGTCAGTCCAGTGCTGATTCTACATCACTGCAAGGGCTCACTTATCCTACAGCAGTCCAGTGCTTATCCTACAGTACCACACTGATCCTTAGACAAGTCCCTTCCTTAGCAAAGGCAAGCACACATGCTGCCGTGAGGAAGGCATCCTAGCAACAGGAAGACTATTCTTCCTTTACAGTGAATTCTGCTCCCTCCTTTTCCCCCACCCAACCATGGTCCTCTAGGAGAAATCTTAGTTCCTTACAAGTAATATAAATGAGAGTGGACTGAAAATAACTCTGAGTGAAGCAAGACAAGGGGAGCAGGGTTCACTTTAGTGAAAATTATCACACATCTTAACTTTTTAAGCTGTAAAAATATAAATCCTAGCATACACAAAGTATGTGTTCTATGTATGAATTGGCATAGTAAAGATAAGCATATAAATTAGACTTGCACAGTCCAAAATAGTAATCACTGCCCACGTGAAGCTACTTAACATGTAAGACATGGCCAATCCAATTAGTGATGTGCTGTTAAGTGTGAAAGTCACACCGAATGTCAAAGATGTCACACACAGGTAAGTCAAATACCTCAGTACAACGTTACATTGGCTATATTTAATAATGGAATCCTAGGATAACGCTGTAAGATAAGTTGTTCTTCTTGTTAAGTGCCTTCGAGTCAGTTCTGACTCACAGCGACCTTGTAGAGGATTTCTGAGGAGCAGCTGGAGGGTTTGAACTGCCGACCTTGTGTTCTGCAGTCCAGGGCTGATCCTACAGCGCTACACCAGGACTCTGTACTGCAGTGTTGCCTGAACCACAAAGTTAGCAATTCAAACTCAGCAGTTACTCCTCTGAAACCCTACACAAGGTTGTTGTGAGTCACAACTGACCCGACGGCACTTACCAACAACATATTTAATAACACTTTGGATATTCTGGAATATTTAAAATATTATTACAAGCTGATGTTATTCATTTCTGTCGAGTCAATTCCAAGGCCTGGTGTCCCATGTGTGTCAGAGGAGAGCTGTGCTCCCCGGGCCTTCAGTAGCTGGTTTGGGGACGTAAACTGCCAGGGTTTTTCTCTCAGCTGTCTTTGGGTGGACTCAAACCTCCAACTTTTCAGTTGGCAGTAGAGCACGTTGATTATTTCACCACTCAGGGACTCCACTACTGTTTCTAGATAAAAGGAAATGGAATTGCAGGGTTCTTAACCTGGAGTTAATTCACAGCTTTAAAGAGATCTTTGAATCTTCTGAAAATTAGATGCAAAATGTCGGCAGATTTTTCTTCTAGGCTTTCAAAGAGTGTCCACGACCCAAGAAAGGTTAAGAACCGCCACGCTAATGTTTCTAACACAAAGTGAATGATAGGTGCATAAGTTATTTCCTAACACTGCAGTATGTCAAGAGCAAAGACTTCCAAATCTCATCGATCAGAGTTTTCATTCAACCTCACGACTCAACGCAGACACTGAACATGACAGAGCATCATGGAGAACAGGTGAGCACAGAGCCTCACCTTCAGCAGCTTCGCTTTCATTGTGGATGTGATGGTGGTGGGGTTGATAAACTGGAAGGAAGGGGCTGCGTTGTTTGGGTACTGTGCAGGGAACTTCACCAGCATCTTGACGCGATGGTTGCTGCAGTGCACAGACACTGTGCAGCTCCTATCTGCCGCATCCATCTGCAAATGACAAGTGCAGATGTGGTCAATACGCTCGCTATGTGCTCGGGAGTCCTGTAGCACAGGGAGAAAATACCGCATTCTACCACCAAAAATGTGCCCACTCATATAGCGTGTGGAGATAATGAACAGTTCAGGCTTAACATGCACGTTGTTGTTGTTATTATGTGCTGTGGAGTCGGTTCTGACTCATAGTGACCCTACACAGGGTTTCCGAGGCTGTCAATCTTTACAGGAGCAGAAAGCCTCATCTTTCTCCCGCAGAACAGCTGGTAGTTTCAAACTGCCGACCTTGCGGTTCACAGCCCGATTCATAACCACTACACACACTACTTCTTGTTGTTGTTGTTGCTGTGTGCCCTGGAGTCGGTTCTGACTCATAGCAATCCTGCACAGGGTTTCCGAGGCTGTTAATCTTTACGGGAGCAGAACGCCTCATCTTTCTCCCGTGAGCAGCTGGTAGTTTTGAACTGCTGACCTTGCAGTTCACAGCCTGATTCATAACTACTAAGCTACCAGAGCTCCATACTCACCTAAAAATGTTCATATAAAGCGTAAATGAATTCAGAAGACATTTTCAAAACAGGTATTTAAGACTAGGTGCTGGCGGCCAGAAGGTACAGAATGTACCCTTTGGTTGCTTAAATTATTATATATTCCTGAGTGTTTCTGTGTATATTTCCTCCCCTGCAACAATAACAACAACAAAAAAAACCCAGAGGGAATAGAAGCAAATACTGTTGCATGATGATGCACGAAGGAGTCTGTGATCACTGCAATGAAACAATGGTGTAAAACCGATGTTCTCCCATGTAAACTATCAGTCAATTCATAATAAAAACTTTCAAAAGAAAATAAAAACAAAAAAAGATATTTAATTTTAACATCTATTTAATAAACTCAAAGTGTTTTGCTTCAACAATGTAACCATTGTACATGCAGAAACAGTTAAAGTCGTGTATATTTAGCTGTGTATATTCTCAGCAACAAAATTAAAATAATTTTTTTTCTAAAAATGTGTATACACACACACACACACACACACATATATACTTTAAAAGTTTCATCCCAAAGCTGCAAGAGAAAATAAAAACTGTTTATTTTGAGATGAAAAAATAAAGCAGAAAGACGTTAAATACCCTGACTCAAGTAAAGAATACTCCTGGATATCACAATCCAAGGAGTCAGAAAGTAGATCAGTAGTCGCCAGCGAATGGGGGAAGGAAGAAAGGTCCAGGGTTTCTATTTGGGGAGATAAAAAGGTTCTGGAATTAGGCAGTAGTGATGGCTGCACACCATCATGGGCATACTAAAAATCAATGAATTGAACACTTTAAATGGATGACCCCTATGACATGTGAATTATATTTGCATTTTACTTTTGGAGAAAGGAATCAATATCTCCTCCTTAAATTACATCTCCAGGTTCTCAACCTGGACAACCAGAGTATAAACTGAATTAATATTGAGAATCAATGAGTCAAAAAAATCCTTTCACTTTTCTGATTGCTTGTGCTCCCAACTAGAGGAGTTAGCTGGACAGGAGGGTTCTGGGCCTTGGATTCAAATATTATCTCTTGCACAAAAACAGCTGCTGACCTCAGACAAAGTCCCTTCATCTCTTGGCATCTCCGTTTCCTCATCTGTGAAGGGGGATTATAAAAGCCACTTGGTTTGAAAGACCAAGTGAGGTCTTTATGTAACTAATATCACCTATCTCTGCCTATGGCTAACTGAATCTGGGCAGGGGAGAAAAAAAAAAAAAAAACTTTGAAATTCCTCTTGGAGAGATACTGAAGTCTCTGATGCAAAGACTACAGGTATCTACCCAAAGAGAAAAAGTTCATCTCTATATGTTAAGTGAACAAAAGCCTTTGGTCACGGATTTACGGTAAATTGCAGCTAAGTCAGAAGAGCCATGGAGAGTCAGGAGACCTGTCATGACTTTACCGGTGACCCTGGCAAGGTCGCTAAGTGTTTTCAGATCTAAGTCTTTTCGTTGCAGTAAAACAAGGAGCTAGAGCAACCAAGGGAAAGTGAAGTCACACAAGTATTAGTTTATCCTTTGGCTCTCTTATAAAAATAGAATGGGGGGGGGAAATCTGTGATTGTAAAACATCTATGCCTTCAGAAAATCTAGGAAACAAAATTCAGCAGAGAGGCCTGTCTATAGGAGAAGCAGTTATTTTCTAGCTCATATTGTATCTGAAATCGCCCCTTCTCCCACCAACTGCTGCGGGCAAACAGGAGAGTTAGTCAGACTACGGAGTACCTCCACATTGACATTCCGGATCTGCACATTGATCAGGGAGAATTCTTGCTGCAGAGTCTGGGGCAGCCCCAACTGATCTGACTTCCTTTCTTCCGGGAGGTTGCTAGGGGGATCGTCCTTTGAGGCTAAAAGCAAAGAGAAGTACAATGGTTTAAAAATATTTTTGAAAAGAAAGAGAAGAGTAGCTCTAGGGTACCTGTACTGTCTATCATTTCAAAGTGAAGAATGGAAACACACATAAGCCATTTAACTGAAATTTGTGGAGACAATGAAAACATTTATCCTGATAGTCTATACAGACTGCCTTCTGGGAGAACGAGGTCAACAAGAAATGGGCCCTGCACCTCACAGAAAGTCAGGTTTGGGGTCTCTTCCCATCGGTGCAGACTCCAGTGACTGACATAGTAATTGCTGGTGTTATTCATGACCAGAATTTAGACAAACACTGTACCCAGGGTGAGGGAGAGTGTGTGGAACAGGAATGAAGATCGTTTAGACATCACAGACCCTGTACCAAGGGTGAGGGAGAGTGTGTGGAATGGGAATGCAGATCATTTAGACATCACAGACCCTGTACCAAGAGTGAGGGAGAGTGTGTGGAACAGGAATGCAGATCATTTCTATCTTCTACAGAAAGACCTTGGAGATGAAGAAAAGACAGGAAAGAAATTGTATTTAAGGAGAATTCTTCTCCCCAGAAGACCATAATGATGTATTTTATTTACTCATTCAAAACATGACAAGCTAGAAATAGAAGAGAATTCCCTTAACCTGAGAAAGTGTTATCTACAAAAATCTACAATGAACAACATACCTGACATTTAAGCTTTCCCTTTGTGACTGAAAATAACTACTGTTTGACTGCTGTTATTCAATACTATAGTGAAGACCCCAGACACATACATATAAGGCAAATAAAAAAGCCAGGGACAAGAGGGGTGGGGAGAAACAAAAGCTAGAAAGAAAAAAAGACAACTGTCATCATGACTAGGTATGCAGAATGTAAAAAATAATTTAAAAATAAACATTAGATCTAATAAAGAGCTCAAGTGACTAGACACAAAATCAATGCATAAATATCAACTGTTTTTTAAAAAAATCTATTGCAATTCCATTTGCCAACAACAAAAAGAAAACAATTTTTAAAATCCCATTTTTAGTACTTCTTATAAAACCAAGTTTCCAGAAAAAAAAAACTAATAAGATGGGCATCATGTCTATGAAGAAAATTATACCATTTAATTGAGAGATAATATTCAGTATTAAGAGAGACAGAATAGAGCACGTTCATGAACTTGAAACCTCAGAATTGTGAAGATGACTGATGTTGTCGTTAAATGGCACTGAGTTGGTTCCAACTTGTAGCAACACTGTATTGGGCTTCTGAGTTGCAGCTGGTGAATTTGAACCACCAACTTGCTTTACTCCTGTAAAGATGATATTCTCCTGGAAAGGGGCTGATGACTGTGGTGGGGTGGGGTGGGGTGGGGTGCAGGCTTACAGGGTACACCCCTTGGTTGGGTGAGGATGCATGGACGGGATGGTAACTATGCCAATGATACGATGGATGATGGAATGAATGTAAAGCTGATGTTCTCCCATGTAGACTATCACACAATTCACAATAAAACATTTTTAAAAATTAAAAAAAAAAAGATGATATTCTCCTCAAATCAGTATGAATTCAATATAACTCCAATCAAAATTCCAGCCAGATTCTTTATGGAATCTCCAAGTTGATTTACACATTTATACAGAAATCCTGAAGAAGTTCCAGGTGGGAGGGCCTGCCTTACCAGTTATCAAGACTTATTTTTAAGCCTCTATAGTAACAGCATCCTGGTGTGGTGTTGTGGGATAAAGCACTGGACTGCAAAGTTGGTCTGAACTATAAGCCTGACGGTTCAAACTCACGCGCCATTCCTTAGAAACCCTATACAGGATCATTATCAGTCCGAACTGACTCAATGGTCTATAACAACAGTAACCGTGTGGTGGCTCTGAAGACTAAGGATGGCACTGCCAACCACAAGATTAACGTGTTCCAGCACATCAGCAGCTCCACGGGAGAAGGACGAGGATTTCTGCGCTCTCCAAGGTCCACAGCCTCAGAAACACTATACAGGGGCACTCGGAGTTAGACCCGACAACAAAGTATCAGTGTAGAATTTAAAAAGAGTCTTCACACATTGTTGTCCACTGGGTTTTGATATATAGCAACCCTGTATAGGGTTTCCAGGAAGCAGCTGGTAGGTTTAAAGCACCAACCTTGCGGTTAGCAGCCAGTGTTTATCTTATAGCACCACACCAGGACTCCAGTGCTCCATAGTATCTCCGGAATTAGGAGATAAGTAAATAGGGCTTTCCAGTGCAAATTTTCCTGCTAAATCTTTCTTATCTCATGAGTTTTCCTCCAATTTGAGTTTTGTGCGTCCTTTTGGCGTACTTAAAAATTTTTAAATACTCTGTTGAACTTTCCAAAATTCGTATTCTTCCTCCATGTTGAATTACATTGTAAGCGTGTGCTCTGGGAGCCTGACTTTTGTCTACCATGATTGTCCCTGGACAAACTGTATTATAACTCTATGGTTCTGACCTTGTTACTTTGCTGCCCCACCTATGAAATGTGTAGAGCAGCCTCACCCAACAGAGACCATTTACCTTCTTCCTCCCCATGGCTTGAGTTGTGCTGGTGATCTGTATCTTGAGTGTGAAGGGTCTTCTCTGGTTCCGGCAGAAGAGAAATGCTCTCAATGAACTCATCCACACCATCTACTATCTCATTTGCACAAAGCTACAACAAAGGACAGAAGAAGGAGTCTTGGACATTAGTAGAAACGAACACGATGTTTGTTGAACTATTTCTGACTTCAAAATGGAAATCACCAAGGACAGGATGTGTCAACCTAGAACGGATCCCAATCAGAAGAGGACTTACTCCTCATGAACTCCGCTTGGTTAAACACAAGATAAGCTCTCCATTACTCTATCTTGACAACTTTTCATCATGATCATAGCTTACACAGCCTCAGAAAAAAGTCCTTTAAATTCCGAGACTTGATGGACTTATTCAGCTAGCATTACCTCAAAACGTTTGCAGCAAATGGTACTTTTTGGGGAAAACAGATTTAAAAGGCAACAAGGTAGTGATACTTGGCCAATAATGCTTAAGTGTGACTTCACACTTAGCAGTGTTGTGAAATACACCCAGCATTTTTTCTCTTCTCTATGCAAAGCAGTAGGCACAGCCCTGAGGAGATGGGAGAGGAGGCATAACAAGTGAGATGTGGCTTCTGACTTCACAGAATTTAGTAATCGAATGAAAACAGAACTTCGGAATGAGGCTGACCAAACTAAGGGCCACATGAACAGCCCACACGGGTTCATATAAGAAACATTTGTGGGGGAAGATTAGAAATAGCTTCACGGAAGAGGTGTTGTTGATCGGCATGGAGGGCTTTGAACACGTATCGAGTTTAAGAACAGGCCTTCTGCCCCATTTAGAAGAGAAAGCCATGGCCACAGATCATTGGCTCAGTATGTACTGTTACTATTAGACACCAGGGCAAGAGGAAAAACAGTAAAAGGCTTTTTGTTCTGAAAGTGATAAAGCTGCCTCTTAAAAATAACAAAGCTTCATTATGACAAACAAACTATTAAGCCAGCCAGCTGGTGAGAATTTATTTAGGGTTTTACATATAGCCTGTAACATTCACAAATATCAAATTAATTTCTTTTCCCCCCAAAGACTGCAGTGTATGCCATTACATTCCCTGACAAAACATGGAATACATACCCTCTGCATCTGGGAATCCACCCGCCACATTCTCAAGGTCTGATCCCGGGACCACGTGACCAGTTGGTAATCCTTTGACCCTAGGAATCACCAAATAAGAATCCTGAAAACTTTCTGGATGCAGCATGAATTTTGATACAGGCCACAATGGAGTGAGATTCACTGATGCATTCATTGAAAAATATTTATTGAACATCTGTATGTCAGGCTGTATTTTAGGCACTAGGATTATAGAATGAATGAAACAGTCTCTATCTTTACAGACCGGATATTCCAATGGTGGAAACAGACAAGCACATCAATATATAATGTCAGCCAGAGATGGGGTTACAAAAACTAACCCAGGATAAGAGGACAGAGACGGATGGGGGAACTATTTTTAGATAAGACTCCCTGAGGAAGTCACATTTGAGCAGAAAGGTAAATGAAGTGAAATAATAACCGGCAAATTAGCAGGTGAAGACTGATGTTGGCATTTAACGTCATACTAAACTTTCACCTCAACAAACGTTCTTCCTTTTATACTCGGATATTCTGGATTTTTTTTTTTCAAAATGAATTGTTTTAAACGCATCATTTAAAAATTATTTTACTTCGGGGCAAGTTCTACTCTGTGCTAGATCATTGAGTCGGAGTCACCTCTCTGGCAACAGACATGGTAACAGGGACATTTTACACGAGGGATCTTTAAAATTTTTATGGAGAAAGTCCATTATCTTTTCATTCCATTTTTCCATAACTTTTTGAAGTTTCCTTATACGTACATCCATACCAGTTTTTCTTTAATGTTTTGGCCTTTGTTTACTTGAGGTGATTCTCAGGGGAAATGTGACTGAGCAGTCATTTATAATTTGGTACGTATCAGAACTTGTTTTACGACTTGAATTTGCATAGCTACCTTCCTAAATGTAGGGCTGGTGTTACCTTTATGTGCTGCTATGTGACAAATCATTGCCTCTTTCTTTTTAAGAGTATAAAAAAAATGGTGTTATAAGAAGCTTCTCACTCAACATGCACCAAAAGCAAGTTTCCTAGTATTAAAAAGAAAACTGAAGTTGTTTTTACTCAATGACACTTAAAAGAATGTGTATAAGTAGTTTTAACTTCTGAAGAGTACTTTTTATTGATTACCAGCCAAATACATACAAAGCATTTCAGTAAAAAATTGGTTAATTTTTTTTGATAAGGAGAAAAATCTCTTTGCAAAGTGAATCATCATGTATTTTCAAATAATCCTGAGTATTTCAAATACTCTAACATGTATTTTCTATTCTTGTTGCTGCTGTTGTTAAGTCCTGTCGAGTTAGTTCTAACTCACAGCAACCCTGTATAGGTTCTACATCTTTGCTGGAGCAGAAAGCTTCATCTTTCTCTCATGGAGCAGCTGGTAGGTTTGAACTGCCAACCTTGTGATTCCATATCCTATGGCACCACCATGCTCCCTATTGACACATATTAGATTGGATCAAAGAGAAATGATTCTGAAAAGACTTGAGGTATTTTATGCAAGAATTTGATAGAAAAGCAGGAGACCTCAGGGTAATTAGGATACACCAGGAGTCTCTCACAGCCATCTTCAGAGTTAAAAAAAGATTTCTCTCATTTTTATAGACAGGGAAACCAAAGCAACAAAGAAAACAGCCTGCCCGAAGTCACAGGGTGTAATGGTTAATTGTGTGTCAACACCGTTGGTGATGGTTCCCAGTGGTTGACCTAAGCACTAGTCTAATTGTTATTCCATGATGTCATCTAACGTAAGGTAATCAATCCATTGAAAAGTGATTTTCCTTAGGGTGTGCTTTCCTCCAGATATAAACGGGTACTATGGCAGAACGCCCTTTCTCTCTTCACTCTGTACTCTTCTTGTCGCCTGGATATGGATCTTGGGGTACTAGCTTGAAGAATCCTCCAGCCTATTGCCTAACCTACAGGTTCTGGATTTACCAACTCTATGACTGCATGAGCAAATCCTGTGAAGTAAATCAACGTCCCTCGACACAGGGACAGAGAAATAGCTAACGACACAGACACAAACCCCGCTGGCATTGGGTTGACTGACTCACAGTGCCCCCTAAAAGGCAGAATAGAACAGCCTCATGGGTTTCCCAGGTTGTGAGTTGTTGTGGAAACAGACTACATATTTCTCCTGTGCAGAGGCTGAGAGCACAACCACTGTGCCACCAGGGCTCCTACATACATTGGTGTCGTCAAGTGCCTCCAAGTAGGTTCCAACTCACAGCGACCCTGTATGGGGTTTCCAAGGCTTTAAATCTTTGTGGGGGCAGAAAGTCTCATCTTTCTCCCGTAGGTATATAGATCTAGCTCACCGGTTCTGTTTCTCTAGAGAATCCTGACTGAGACGTAGGACGTTAGTGATGACACAAGAGCCAGTTCTTTTTTCACTGTCCTGTCATCAGTGCCAAGCCTGCACTGGTACTGTTTCACAGTATCCCTGCTACCAGCACTCCGGACACTCCTGAACAACAAAGCAACACTATTCTGCGCCCCTGGTCTTCTAGATTTATGTTAATACATCATAACGCCTGACCCTGTAGCTTGCCTATTTTCATGTCCCTGCCAATGAGGAAGAGCTATGCCTAATTTCTCTCTGAAGTCAGTTTCTCTCCTTACGCCTTCAACTCTATTCCTACTCCTGGACCAGGAGCCCTTGTCTCTGCTTCCTATCTGCCAGTGAAGAAGGAAAGCAGACGTTCTGCCAATGAGTGAATTCTACTCTGTGACTTTGAGGGCGATATCACTCACAGAACTACTGTTTCTGCTTCTACTACCTTTGGATCTGGTGCATGCTCTCAAGCCACTTTTAGAATTTCCCTTGTAAGGATCATCTGACTTTCTATTTGGTAAATGCTATTTCTCTTAATCTGCATCTAACAATAGCATTAATTCCACATGCAAGTAAAATTTTGCTGGAAATAATTTAAAAAGAGTTGCAATAGTACATCAACAGGGAATTGCCAGAAATTCAAGTCAGATTCAGAACACATGGAATGAAGGATCTCACCGGTGACGTCAGACAAATCATGGCTGAAAGCAAAGAATTCCAGAAAGATAATCACTTGTGCTTTACTGACTATGCAAAGGCATTCAAATGTGTGGATCCTAACAAATACATAAATTGCAAAGAATGGGTATTTCAGAACATTTCATTGTGTTTATGAGGAGCCTGTACGTACACCAAGAGACAGCTGTTAGTAACAGAACAAGGAGATACTGAATGATTTAAAATGTGGAAAGGTGTGGGCCAGGGTTGTCTCCTTTCACCATGTTTGTTCAATCTGAATGCTGAGTAAATCATCTGAGAAGCTGAATTAACATCCTGCAAAATGTAGATGATACAACCTTACTTGCTGGAAGAGAAAGAACTTAAGATACTGAAGTTGATCAAAAGACAACAACAACCTTAAGTATGGATTATACCTCAATGCAAACAAAACTAAAATCCTCACAATTAGACTAATAAATAACATCATGATAAATAGAGAAAAGATTCTTCAAGTTGTCAAAGATTTCATTTTGCTTGGATCACACAATCAACACTCATGGAAACAACAGTTAGGAAATCAAAGGGCATGTTGCATTTGGTAAATCTACTGCAGAAGACCTCTTTAAAATGTTAAAGAGCAAAGATATCAGTTTGAAGACTAAGGGAGCCTGACTCAAGCATGGTAGTTTCAATTGCCTCATATGCATTTGAAAGTTGGACAGTGAATAAGGAAGATCACAGAAGAATTGATGCATCTAAATTAGAGTGTTGGAGAAGAATAGTAAAAGTACAAGGACTGCCAGAAGAACAAACAAATCTGACTTGGAAGAAGTACAGCCAGAATGTTCCTTAGAAGACAGGATGGCGAGACTTCATCTCTCATACTTCAGACATGTTATCAGGAAGTACCAGTCCCTGGAGAAGGACATCATGCTTGGTCAGCAAAAAAGAGGAAGCCTGCCAACGAGATGGACCAACACCGTGGCAGCAGCCCTACACTCAAATGTTCCAACAACGTGAGGCTGGTGCAGGCTCAGGGAGTGGTTCATTCTGTTGTGCATGGGGTCACAATGAGTCTGAGGGCAATACCTAACAACGGTAACAATTCTCTTAATCTACATTTTGATCCTTCAGTAACTCAGAAACCAATTACTATCCTTTCCTTTATGAAGCATCCTTGTCCCTTGGCCACAACATCCTGGTTCTCTTCCTATCTCTCTGGAAGCTCCTTCACCTCTAGTGAAAATCAAAAGCAAAGCTTGAGGTGGTCCAGTGAAGACTGAGTGAGAGAACTTGGCAATCAAAATCAACCAGGGTAACATTAGGTTGAGACAGAAGGAAAATGTAGAAAGCCAGCAGGACAGTTACACTTACAAAAGGTTTTAAACCAAGAAACATGAAACTACTTTTAGGGATGCATAAATGAGTACTAAAACTAAAAAGATGATGAAAAAAAAATTACTTTCCTAAGAGTTAGGACAGTGTTTAGCTTGAGATGAAGAAGAGAGAGGTAACTGGGAAACTTCTGGGGTTTTCTTTCTTGACCTGTTGGTGGTTACATAGATTTTTCCACTTTATAATTACTTGTTACAATCTCCATGTTTCACATAATTTTCCAGATTCATGACAATTATATAATCAAACATCAAAACAAAACGACAACCTGGAAGTGGCACTTCAATTTTCACTAACCTTCCTTCTGTTTCCTCCACTGGAACTCCAGAACCACATCGTCATGCCCCACGAAAGTGTGGACTGGGGTGTTCAGATCAAAGACATTCCAAAGGAGGAGACTGTTTTCTCTCCGCAGCTGGGGCACCATCACGGTCACTAATCCATGGCTGAAAGGCTGAAGGTCATAAACAAGAAAGCACAAGAGTATTTCAGATGTTGTTGTTGTTGTTAAGTGCCGCTGAGTCAATTCCGACCTGTAGAGACCCCTGTATAGGGTTTCCGAGGAGCAGCTGGTGAGCTTGAACTGCCCACCTTGCGGTTCAAAGGGCTTTGCAGTGTAGTGCATTAACCCACAGCGCCACACCAGGACTCCTTCCTAACTGAAATAGAGGATGAAAGCCCTAACCTATCCAGGGAAATTTTTTTCAAACACTCTAAGTTGACCATTAGCTCTAGCCTTCTCTTTGCTTTGGGGAGAGAAAACAAGTGAAGAAATAAATAAAACCAAGTCAAATGCATGGAGAATTTTTTCATGCTAGAAATATGCAAATGACCATAACCAAACGCATCAGAATACACTGTTGTTTCACATCCTAGCTGTTCTCCATGAGTTCCCTGGCAATAGTCAGGAGAGTAGCTTCCCAGAATGAGCACATAAGCTTACCTGGGAAAAACCTCGTGGCAGCAAGCATCATTCTTATCCTGTGAGATGCACCAGAAGCTCACTATTCCCAGGAATATCACCTTCATACTGTCCCCAAAATTCGAACTCATCCAAGGGAACTCTATGGTTCCAGGACTGACAAGCTTTACTTATCAACACTCAACCTTCTAGGGAGCAACGAGGCTCATTTGGTTTATAATCAGATTCAATTCTTTCAGGAAAAAGTCACAGTCATTTAAGAACACCAATTAGCTTCATCTCACCACCTGGCAGCACTTCTGAACTTTCCTGTTTACTTTTTAAAGCAAACATATTAATCCAGAAAAGTATTTCAATTCATAAGAGTAGAGGCAGTTTTCTCAGCAAGGGCTCCCTGATGCAATAACAATTATCTTTTATGGTCCACAATGCCTCAAGTAATAGCCTCCTGAATTAAGGAAGCTTTACTTATGCCCAGGCTCACTTTTACATTGACATCAAAAGAATACATTATGAGTGATCAACAGCTACCCATGCGACAACGGAAAAACTACTGGAAGGTTGATCATTGTCTATCCCCCTATAATTGTAGCATTTTATGATTCATAAAGCATTTTCAGATACACAATGTCAAAAGGAAGACTTACTGTGAATTCACTAAATGCCACTAACAGTACAAGGCAAAGTGGTTTAAATGGTAAATTTGATGTTATATGAATTTTACTACCACCAAAAAAAAAGAGAGAGTAAAAATTATTATTCATGTTCTACAAGCGGAGCAAATGCTGTTCAAAAATATTAGGTCTGGAATGGAACTCATCCTTGTGGCCCAATTTTCAACCAAGCAGTGGATGGGTACAGAGGGGGGAACCAGAACAGTGATCTACCATTCAAGATCAAAAGGGCAACATTTACCTGAGGACAAGGTTCACGGGGTTGGGAAGGAGGGTGGAACAGAAACAGGAACCACAGTGAGGAATGGGGTAACTATTGTTACGTGGAAGGGATTTCTATCAACAAAATAAAACAAAGTGTCTAATTTGTTGAAAGTAAAAAAAAAAAATGATGGTAGACTCTGTAAACTTTCACTCAATTCACACACAAAAAAAGTTTCTAAACAAAAAATTAGGAGGCTTGTCCAAGTCACACAAGTATTAAATGGCAAAGCTAGGCCCCAAACCCAGCTCTGGTGAATCTTCCACCAGGATCCACTGATTTTGACCTCTCAATCCTCTGCTTCCATCCCACTCTGCTCACCTGCCATCAGTGGCTGTCCTTACACTGCCCAGCTTCTGCCTAATTACTCCAGTAGAGAATCTACCTGGCATTCATACACAAGTAAACTTTTCAATTGTTGTTGTTATGTGTCGTGGAGTTGGTTCTGACTCACAGCAACCCTGTACATGGTTTCCATGGCTGTAAATCTTTACGGAAACAGAAAGCCTCATCTTTCTCCCACAGAACAGCTGGTAGTTTCGAACTGCTGACCTTGCAGTTTGCAGCCCGATTCGTAACCACTACACTACCAGAGCTCCTTCTCAATAGGTAACAGCTTTAAGCTTTCACTCTCACCTCTGCCCCACTCTACACCAAGACAATGGAGTCCTGCTGTGGTGCTGCAGAAAAATACACTGGACAGCAAGGTTGGCGGTTCAAACTCACCAGCTGCTCCTCAGAAACTCTATACAGAGTCACTGTGAGTTAGAACCGACTCCACGGCACTTAACAACAATACACCAAGGCAGGAAGAAGAAACTGCCTCCCTAAGGGTGTCAGGGGAAAATTCCCAAGGGCCCTGGAGTCTGCAACACCAAGATGAAGTTTCCGGGCAAAAAGTAGGATGTCTCACTCACAGTATATCTGGCTTTCCAGACAGGCACCTGGCAAGGGAGAATATTGAGGTATTTCCGAGGCTGGCGGTAATCCCAGAACTAGAAGAAAAACAGAAGAATGATTTCTGAAATGAAGACCATTAAAAATACAGCTATTGTAATAAGCATACCCTTTAAAGTTGTTATTTTTTAACTTTCATTGTGATGAAATGTAAGTAACTAAAAATCTGTCATTTTAAGTATACAATTCATTGACATTAATTACCTTCAGCGCATTTATGCAACCATTGTTGTTGTTACATGCTGTCGAGTCGATTCCGTAACCAGTATACAGTTTTCAAGGAGTGGCTGGTTGAAGTTCAAACTGACATTTCTGGCCAGTGCATTATCCCACAGTGCCACACCAGAACGCCATCACCACTACCTAATTCCACATGTTCTCCATCACTCCAAATGCAAACTCAGCACCCCTTAAAACATACACTGAATGACTTCACTAATATTAACAGCCTAGAACCAACCGGCAAGGCACAGACTTTGTAGGTGGAGTGAAGGTTGCCAGGGGTTTGAAGGAATGGGGAGCTATATAATTCAGTAAGGCTGATGCAAAAGTGGTAGAAATGGATACAGGTGATGGCTACACACACACAAAGCTAAACAAACACACATCACCTGACCCAGTAATCCTTGCCCAATGTGTTTATCCTAGAAAAATGAAAACTTTTGTTCACACAAAAACTTATATACGAATGTCTGAGCAACTCTATTAAAGATGCCAAAAACTAGAAACAGTTCAAATGTTCTTCACCAAGTAAAGAGAGAAAATTGAGGACGAGCCACACAATGAAATACTACCCAAGGAGCCCTGGTCACTCAGTGGTTAAGTGATCTTAAAGGGTGCAGAAAACCTAAGCTTGGTGGTTCAATCCCTCCAGTGGGAACGATGTGGCACTTTGCTTCCATAAAGATGGCACCTTTGGAAACCTATGGGAGAGTTCTACTCTGTGAGTCAGCACTGACTAACAGTAAATGCTAACAAAAGGCTGTGAACTACTCATTCTTGAAACAACTTGGACAAATCATAAAGGCGTTATGCTGAGTGAAAGAAGTCTATCTCAAAGGGTTAAATACTGTATACTTCAATTTGCATGATATTCTCAAGACAGAACTGCAGTGATGGGGAACAGACCAATGGCTGGCATTAGTTTGGGGTTATTATTGTTAAGTGTCGCGAAGTTAATTCCAACTCACAGTGACTCAATGCACAACAGAATGAAACACTTCCCAGTCCTGTACCATCCACACAATTGTTGTTTGAGCTCATTGTTGCCATCTCTGTGTTGATCCTCATCTTTTTCACAGATCCTCTACTTTATCAAGCATGATGTCCCATTCCAGGGACTGGTCCTTCCTGATAAAATGTCCAAAGTACATGAAACAAGGTCTTGCCATTCTTGCTTCCAATGAGAATTCTGGCTGTCCTTCTATGGCAGATTTGTCTGATCTTCTGGCAGCCCGTGGTACTTTCAACATTCTTATCCAACATCATAATTTCAATTCATGTCTTCTACCATATTCTTTACTCATTGTCCAACTTTCACATGCAAATGAGGTGAATGAAAACACCAAGGCTTGGGTCAGGAACACCTTAGTCCTCAAACTGACACCTTTGCACTGTAACACTTTAAAGAGTTCTTTGGTAGCAGAGGTGCCTAATGCAATACCTTGTTTGATTTCTTTGACTGCTTGTGAGCACTGATTGTGTTAAATAAAATCTTTGACAACTTTAATCTTGTCTATGTTTATCATGATGTTGTTTATTTGTCCACTTGTGAGTATTTTCATTTTCTTTATACTGAGGTGCAAGTCGTACTATAGGTTGTAGTCTTCAATCTTTATGAGTAAGTGCTTCAAGTCCTCTTTACTTTCAGCAAGCAAGGTTGTCTCACCTGCATTTTACAGGTTGCTAATGAGTCTTTCTTCAATTCTGATGCCCCATTATTCTTCAGAGAGTCCAGTTTCTAGTATTATGTGCTCAGCATACAGACTGCACAACGACAGCAAAAGAATACATCCCTGGTGCACAGCTCTCCTGATCTTAAAACATTCAGCATCTCCTAGTTCTGTTCAAATGCCTGCCTCTTGGTTTATGTACAAGTTTCTCATGAGCACAATGAAGTGTTCTGGGATACCCATTTTTTGCAATGTGATCCATAGTTTGTCATGGTCCACACAGTCAAAAGACTGCATAGCAATAAAACAAAAGTAAGTATCTTCCTGGTATGCTTTGCTTTTAGCCAAGATCAACCTGAAATCAGCAATTTCATCCCTCATTCCACATACTCTTCAGACTCTGTCTTGAATTTCTGGCAGCACCCTGTAGGTGAAGCATTTTTGAATTATCTTCAGCAAAATTTTACTAGTGTATGACATTAATGACATTGTTCAATAACTTCCACATTCTTTTGGGTCACCATTCTTTAGAATGGGCACAAATAAGGGTTTCTTCCTATTGGTTGTCAGGTAGCTGTCTTCTAAATTGTTGAAACAGTTCTACGGATATTCCATCAATTCCTGGTGACTCAGTTTAGCTAAGGCCTTCAGTGTAGCTTGGACTTCTTCCTTCAGTACCATAGCTTTTTTTTTTTTTTTTAAGTACAGCTTCTTTAGTCTTGTACTCAGAACCTCACATTCATTTCTCATCACCCTAATTAGAAAAGCTTTCACAAAGCAGGAAAATACCCATGAAAAGGCTAGTATACTCCCTGGGTGAAACTGCTTCACCTTCTGCCAACAAGCTGGTTCCCACATTACTCAAAAGATGGACTAGTAATAAAATAAGATCTCTTGTCTGAAAAGTTGAGGACAAAGAAGGATATTATCAAAGTTCAATGACATGAAAGCTTCATGGAGTACTTGAGTACCAATGATTCTTGATCATATGCTACCTCTTGAAATGGATGAACACTGACCAATGCTTTCAAGCACAGTGACTGTGTATTCCTTTCATCTTCTTTTGACGCTTCCTGCATCATTCAATATTTTGCCCATAGAATTCTTCAATATTGCAACCCATAGCTTGAATTTGTTCTTTTCTTTCAGCTTGAGAAATGCTGAGTGTGTTCTTCCCTTTTAGTTTTCAAACTCCAGGTTTTTATAGATTTCATTATCTTACTCTGTCTTCTTAAGCAGTCTACTGGAATTTTCCGTTCAGCTCTTTTACTTCCCCATTTCTTCCGTTCTTTTTAGCTTCTTTATATTCAAGAGCCTACTTACTGCTCACACATCCGTCAGTTTGTGGTACTGTGGTGCTCTGCATGTTGCTGTGATTGTAGAAGCTATGCCAAGGGTATTTTAAATACCAGCAGGGTCACCCCTTGTGAACAGGTTTCAGCTGAGCTTCCAGACAAAGACAGATAAAGAGGAAGGAGAAATGGACTACTTTCGAATATCTAGTCACTGAAAGCCTTATGACTAGCAGTGGAATGCTGTTAGCACCAGAATACTGAATATTGACACATAATGAAGAGCACCAGAATAATGTCAGATATAGTGCCACAAGATGAGCCCCTCAGGTAAGAAGGCACTCCCAATGCGACTGCAGAAGAGCTGCTTCCTCAAAGTAGACTTGACCATGATGACGCGAATGGAGTAAAGCCCTCGGGACCTTCATTCACAGATGGGGCATAACTGAAAATGAAGAGAAATAGCTGTAGACTTACATTAAAAATAGGAATGTGGAATGTACGAAATAGGAATCTAGGAAAATTGAAAACTGTCAAAAATGAAGTGGAATGCATACAAGTCGATATCCTAAGCATAAGTGAGCTGAAATGGACTGGTATTGACCATTTTGAATCTGACAATCACAGGGTTCACTATGTCAGGAATGACAAATTGAAGAGAAATGATGCCCCATTCAGCATCAAAAAGAACACATCAAGATTGTCTTGAAGTACAAACGAATAGGATAACATCCAAATGAATACAAGGAAGACCAGTAAATACCACTACTATTCAAATTTAAACACCAATCACTAAAGCCAGTGATGATGCAATTGAAGAATTTGGCAAAATTCTTCAGTCCAAAATTGATCAAACATACAATCAAGATGTATTGATCATTACTGGCAATTCAAATGTAAAGATTGGAAACAAAGACTAAGGAAAATATGGTCTTGGTGATAAAACAATGCTGGAGATCACATGATAGAACTTTGCAGGACCAATGACTTCTTAATTGCAAATACCTTGTTTAAACAACATTAAAGATGACCATATACAAGGAATTCACCAAATAGAATACACAGCAATCAAATCGACTACATCTGTAGAACGAGACAGTGGAAAAGCTCCATATCATCAGCCAAAACAAAATCAAGGGCAGACTGTGGAACAGACCATCAACTGCTCATATGCAAATTCAAACTGAAGCTGAAATAAATTAAAACAAGTCCGCAAGAGCCAAACTATGATCTTGAACCTATCCCATCTGAATTTAGAGATCATTTGAAGGACAGATTTGATGCATTAGACACTAAAGACCAAAGACCAGAGGAGCTGTGGGGTGACATCAAGAACATCCTACAGGAAAAAAGCAAAAGGTCATTAAGAAGACAAGAAAGAAGGAAACGACCAAAATGGATGTCATAACAAACTCTGAAACTTGTTCTCCAGTGTAAAGATGCTAAAGCAAAAACAAGAAGTGAGGAGGTACAAGAGCTGAACAGAAATTTTTAAAGATCAGCTCAAG